GGGTTGGTTGTTTTAATAAAGTGTTTTCATTTTCTCAAGCTCCTTGTATCTGCCTACACTTGTGTTTAGCCACCACCAACTGTAGTAGTAAAGTATACAACAAATGAATTTGAGTAAAACAAAACATGTAGTGCAAAAAATTGAGTAGAAACCAGGAGGTATACACAATGCACTGTARGATCCTTCAATCAGATTATGTCAAAAGTGCCTCCCTGGAGAGATGTCTTTGGAAAAACAAAATCTTGCCAGATTATAAAACAAAACAATTTTTACCGGTTCTCTTTGAGTGCAGAGGAGCAGCAACCTCTCGGCCATTTCCTTAAAGTTGAACCCACATATTCAGAGATGTTTGTCTTCGAACTCTGTGTCCCAGTTCAGAGGCTACAGCYGCCCACGTAGGCTGTGACCCACGTAGGCCACACCTACCACAGGCTGTCCATATAGGCTGCATAAAACAGCTGTAAAATCTATATGATCTAGTCTACAGATGATGTATGTTTGAGGGACCAACTGATGATGTATAGTGTTACGTTTTATATCACATGCCTTCAGTTGGTACACATCTGTAACGGGAGGTTTAGCTTCATTTTGATAACTTTCATTAATAATCTAGCTCCACTACTCCTWATTGCATTTTATTTAACACCTCRTTACAACATAAATTTCATCAGCTAAGTTGCTAAACTGAGATTTTTAAATGAATTATTTGATCTGTGATGAATTTTCAAACTCTGCTGGGAAAAGAACRTGATGTTAGTCGACAATGCACCCTTTTACAGGCTGCTACTCCTGAATTGAGACACGGACMCTTTTCTTTAGTCACTACCATTTTGTTTGAGACCACTGAGTATTTTTTATTACCATTTTCACATTTGGCTCAGTCTGTCTGCACCTTTTTGCCTTTTAAAATCAAATTAAGGAAACCTTTAAAAATGTTTATTTGTCCCTGGCTGGATCTTATCCAAACCACCCCACCAGACAAGCTAATGAAGATATCTGACTGTGCAGGAGTCAATTTAAATACCTCTGAAATATTTTCTTGTTCTGAACTCTTTAAATACTGAGTTCATCTCAGTCTGAATGATTGATTGACCTCGGAATTTAAATTAATGACATTAATAACTGTTTTAAAATGACATCTGTTACTGCTGCACCAAAAACATGTTTTAATGTGAGTTTTACCTGTGCCCACATACTGTAGAAGACTAGAGTTCTTGTATGCRTTGCAAATGAAAATGCATGTGGGTGGGAAATGCATTTATTTTATTATTACAGAGATCAGGTGTCGCAACCCCCAGGCCTCGGTGATTGTCATGCCTCGCTGAAACAGGTTAATGGAACCAAACAATTGTTTATGCCATTAGTTACACTAGAGCTCCTCTCCTTGTTCTGCTGCTGTCTGGTGGGTGTGTGCTCAGCGCAGTGAGAAGCTGTCAAACAAGCTGTGGAAACTGCCAAAACTTTATGGAAACAGGCACATCGTGGAGCTAAGATGTGGTATTCTTATTTCTGCATATTTTTGACCATAAATCTTCATTGGGCTTCTGTACAAAAAAATAACAAAATAAAATAAAACAATCCAGTGAAATAAGGGAGACAACATCAATTATTTATGGTGTGGATAAAAATCAAATAAAAAATTACATATCTGAGAGACAACCTACTTTAGTATTTGAAGTGCACTTGTCCAAAAACACAACTAATTTGATCCAAAGCAAAAATGCCAAACTTAATTGACCTTCAAACATTGCCCTTTTTTTCGGAGCAGTTCTAAATGCGCATAGGTCTAGGATTTCTTGAAAGGATGCACATTACCACTGTTTTGTTCAAAATCTTTATAACTGAACCATGTTCATTTTAAGTTTTCCAAGTTGGCTAGGACATCCATCTTGAATTAAATTAGCTCCAAAAGTTAAAAAAAATTGCAGATGTACATCCACTGGCAACTCCCTGAAAATGTCATCAAAATCATTCCAGWGGTTTATGAGATATTTTGTTAACAGACACACAAAGTTGACTGCAAACAGTTCATGGCAAACTTTTAAGTAAAGATTTTGTGCAGTTTGATTGCCATCAAGACATTTGTTGCGGATAAGTCTCAGCTACTGCCAAATCAGTTTGCATATCAATATCAGTGAAATCGACTGAATCATGGTCATTTATGTTTTTTAAAGTCAGTTTTCTATGGCAGCCTTCTTGAAATGGGTTGACTCCAAAAGTAAATCAGTTGTAGAAGCGCATCCAATGATTACTTTCTGCAAGTTTWAATAAAATTCATTGAATGGTTCATGAGATATTTTGATAACAGACTGATCAAAAAATAAATAAACTCTTTTGGGCACAGCTGCTAAAAACAACCAAGCAATACAAAATTTAGGTTAGTGTTTTGTTTTTCTAATTTTATGTCTGTGCATTTGAATATATATACAAGTGAATACCCTCCAATCTAACAAAAGAATAATTTCATTATGGTTCCAAATGTCCTGATGTGCAATGAATGCTGCGATAATGTGAGTGTGAGGCCAGTGTGAATGTCAGTGTTGGGGTGACGAGGAACAGACTCGCTTATCTTATCTCTGCTGAACAAATTGTCTCTGTCTCATAACAATGTAATCATTTACTCTTTAAAAAAACAACTCCAGAAATGCAAATGAATTTTAGTGAGAACTCATTAAATTYGAGCACAAGACGTCTGTTGACAACCTGCTGGTGATGACCTTTTTGGCGCTGATGTAGTTCGAAGTCTTAAAAAAATGCGTTTTAGTGAGACATGTTTGAAATTCAAAGAGAAATGACTGCATGCGTTGAAAAATATTGTTGTTAAATTTTAATTAGCAGAGACTGAGAGTCCCACAGGGCTTTATTTTCAATTTTCCAACGACTCTTCTTAATACATTTAATCTCCTCGATCTGTTAATAACTCCTGATTTGATTAAAGGACATAATAATCTTTATATTCCTTTAATCGACCAAAACATTACAGCCTTAACCTTTTCCTGTCTGTCRAAATGACTCCAGTGACATGTGGTTTTATACAGTATTTCTCAACTCATCCTTTGCTGTATTTGTTTAGGATAATTAAATCCAGGCTACACACCCAGAGTGTCGGGTACAGTCCCCCTCATTTACATGCAGGTGATTCAGGTGGCTGTTAAATGTAACACAACTGAGTTTTTGCTTGATCTCCAGTCATTAGGCCTTTTTGGATTCTGTATGGCTTGACKCAAAAGCACCGAAGCGTTGACTAAAGTCGTGACCTTTCTCACTTGGATGAAGTTTGAAGGTCTGAACTGGAGCAATTAACTTAACTTTAAGATGAATTCCAAAAGAAACCATGCATGGATTTAACTTAAACCAGATGGATGAGGACCAAAAGATAAAAGATTTATCTAATCTATCCATATTTAATTTGGGGTCTGGGTCAGGTTTAAATATAAAGCGCTGTGACGTTAAGCAGTACCTCTTGATGGTMAAAGTTGTTTTTTATATGCATATTCATTTGAATAATCACCCTTGCTTCACCATCTCATGATTTCATTATGTGCAATTAAATGACAAGAGAACTTTTGTAATAATTGCCCACAATTATGGGATAGACGGTCCGCATTAGCATTTTGCTTGTTTCATGATTCAAATTGCCATGCAAAGCACCAATTGTAACAAATCTATGAGGAACAATTAGGTTTAAAGGGGTTTCACAATAGCTGGATAAGTAGAAAACAATTTAGCTGCTTAACAAGACAATCATGGTTTGTAGCTTCTAGGAGAAAGAGGACGATCTTATTTTAGCACGGTGAGTAAATTATAAACTAAAACTAATATTTCTGAAGGTTTGATGGAAGCCACTGCCCAAATTTTCCACATTACTTTGTAATAATCTAAGAAAAAAAATGGTTTGACGTAATGAAATATCAAAAATGCTGCCAGAGAGGCACCATGGTAACTAAACACCTGAATCTGCCACATGAAAGTGCCTGTGACATTCATATCCTTAAAGTACAGAAAGGTCAAAGGAAACATCTATATTTAAGAAACTTGTCATAATACAAACCCCTTTTGTCACATAACTGGAATATTTTTAATTGAATTTGGCTCTGCCAACATAAAACAGGAA